GTGACTGGGGTAATCGGGATGGGTGTGTCTGAGGCTGTGCGTTTGGCGCAGGACAGAGCAGGGTTTAGGGCTGTTGTGCATAGGGTTGCTATGAGTCGGAAACAACTCGACGGCACATAACAACAACAAGAACAACATAAGCCTATGTTCCTCAAACTAATGTGTACTAGCAGCTATATTGTTGAAATGCAGATTCTGATTTTGTATGTTTGAGGAGGGATCATTGTATCTTATAGGGAATGCCAATATTTTTGGCCCATAGGCTCACTTTGAGTAGTAATAGGAAATAATATTCATGTCAACAAATAGAAATTGTTGGTGTGGCATGAGATTTTTTAAAAAATTTTCTACTGACCTAGGAATTCTTCTGGCTATAACTAAACATAATAAGAGGTATACCAAGAGATGAAATATTCAGCAGTGCCCCAGAAAAAAATGACAAGATGCTACCAAACTCTTCCTTCACTGCCTTTGCTCTATTGTTGACACATCCAAGGTCTCTATGGTATGCTGCTCCTAGGTGGCTGTAGTTTGAATGTATAATAATAAGGTATTCATAAGTACTGGATTCTCTAATTAAGTCTTTACATATTTAAACCATAATATCCCCAGTCCTTTATGCAAATGAAATGTATTTTAGTAAAACTTCAGTAATTTTCAATTAAATATTCATAAATAAATAATTTTTTTTCAAACAAAGTTCCACTTGGGACACCTCTCTCTTGACTCTATGGTTTCTCTGACACCATTTATTAACATTTCAACTCATCATAAGTCTGACATTCATCATATAAGTTCAAATCAAGCATTGATTTCTCACTCATCCGTTTTGAATTATCTTTCCATAAAGACAAGACCCATAAGCAATCTTCTTTTATATGCAATCCTTCTCTTTTCCTCATTGTTCTATCACAAATTATTTTAATTTTATTATCTCCTCTCAGTCATATGGAGAAGATTCTTCTTGTGTGCTATTTCACCTGATTTTACAAAATTCAGATCAGGTCAAAGAATTATAATATATCATTAAGTGATAATATACCGTGGTCTTGGTTATCTGATTTCCTCAAATATTGATAGTTATAGAAAGGCTTCAGACCTTTTGTTCATAAGTTTGCTATAAGTCGTGCTCAACTCGAAGGCAATCAACAACAACAACAACAACTTTGTCATTACTTCATTTTTCCTGACAAAAAGTAGTGAATTACACAAGAAGTCTAACTCTTTTCACCATGCGGGACAGGTGGAAGATACTGGAAGCCTTAGCTTGCCCACTAATAAATAGTTTCTATTCACAATCTGCAGAGTCCTTATCTAAATGATCTTCTTTCCTTTATAATTCCTGGCCTCACATAGATTAATTCCAAAGATGATGAAGGTGTCATTGTTGGATCCTGGGACAATATCTATGCCTATGGTGTTCCTCCATCAGCCTGGACTGGAAGCGTTGACATCCTATTGGAATATCAGAGTTCCAAGAATCCAGTCCGGTATGGCCAGTGCTGGGTTTTTGCTGGTGTATTTAACACATGTAAGTATTTTATTGAAGGCATTCTTTTTTATTTCAAAGGAGATTTTATTTCACAAATTTTATCTAAAACATGGCAAAGAGACTTATCAGTCCTGTTGCCTCTAGGTAATTTATAAGTGAGTGTTCTGGGATGGAGTCAATGCATAATTAAATTTTACTTGATCAAACATGTTCATAGTTTCTTTTTGATTACAAAATCGTTAGAGAAGAATGATGGATTATTTCCATTTAATACATCAATACACACCCAAAGAAACATGGAGTCCCAGAGGCCAAATAAGAATGTTGGAGGAAAGATAAGACATTTTCTTTTCAGTTACTGCCTGCATTTAAAATTGTTAAAATAGTAAACTTAAAATAATAAACAAGAAGGAAAGACATTTAGGTTTTACCTTTTGGAAATTTTATTAATAAGACTATTTATGCATTGGGTGTTTTGTTGAGAAATTTTGTGTATATATGTATCT